CTTTTTAAAAAGTTTTCGGATGTGGATCTTTGTTTTGTTCGTTTCAAGCAATCGGCATATAATGCATACAATATGAGATATGTTGATGAAATATTGATGAAGTGACTTTACTTTATGTTGATGACTTTATAACTGATCTTATGTTTATTTATCATGAGCGTGAATGTGTTATTTTGTTGTGGTCAATTCATTTAAATTTTATGTATTTATGCATTTGCTGCTAGTATTGTTCATAATATATTGTTGTTATTGTTACCATATACCCAGAGAACCGTCTGTATCACTCTCTAGTTTGATGACGCATGATATCTTTACTGAATGAATAGGGAAGTGCATAGTTCTAGCGAGTTGGTTTGATAGGGTGTCTCATGTGATTGATATCATACCGGTGTTGATCGCATCGTTACTTTATTGCAATCACAACTATCATCAAAGTTACTGTCAATTTAACATCGGCTTCGCTATTACCATGGACATTTTTCAGTGCTCTCCTAACGCTGTCGTCACTTCTGGATGATCCGACATCGAGATCACATTGCGATTTAATCAAATCGCTGAAAGCTAAGATTTGGTTATCAGCAATCAAAGCGAATTCCGCATTATGGAGGCAAATGCGTTCTGGCGTTGGAAATGGTGGTGTAGCAGATCATAAACAAACAGTTTATTGTGAATTGCTGCAAAGACTGGTGGAATGTGATGGTTAGTAGTGAAATTGTTCGAGTTCAATAATTGTTCCGTTTTTTTGTCTGAAAGTGATAATCGATGTTGGTATGGAGAAGTGTTTATTCTTATTAAGTATTCGTGTGGCTGATTCAACAGAAAATGAATGATTTGACTAGCACTGGCTAATTTCAGAAGTTTTGGATTGCCGGAAACTTGAGTTATTGCCGAACACCGAGGAGCTGATTGGTTGTATGACCGAGCTGGGAAAGAATCAGCGATTCACGTTCATCGTGCGATCTGAAGAGGAGCTGGCACGTCGTGAGGTCGGTGAACTGGCGAATCGTAAGAAAGCGGAAGCTNGATTACATTGAAATGTTGTTCCAGTAATATTGTTGGTGTCTTTTAACTAAATGTTTTAATTTTGACGTTATTACCGTTGTTATTTTCTAATAGAGTATGAATTATACCCTTGTATATATGCGTTTTGAACGGGAATCATCGCCTGTTCAGCTTGTTTTGATTATGATTATTGTTTTGGACGGTGATCAGTTGAATGATTGAAATCATTAGTTGTTGTATGTGGTCAACAGATTGATTAGATCAATTGTTATTCATTAGTTTTTAAATATGATGTTGATTTGGAAAGATTTCTTCCATTGTTTCTTGACCGATCCATTATTTGATTTATGATGGGACATGATTAGATGTGTTGTTGGATGTATCATCAGAATTGTTACGAAAGTATCTATCTGTCTGTCTGAAAATTCTTATTGAAGTGATGTATCAGTAAGTAGGAAGGCAATCTTTTGCAGTCAACGATCAGAGTTTCGAGTTACTTCATTCAGTTGTTTGTTGAAACCAATAGATTTAACGATTATTTATTTGACGTTCGATATTCTCTCATCATTTTTGATCATCAGTTGTTATTCCTGTTGTCGTTTGTTGTGCGTTTCCTCATGAAAGTGAAATCATGTTAATAGTTCTATAATCATTGTTTCATTAGCTTTGATTAATTTGAGACTTCATTGTTGAATCGTGACCTCTAGATTATTTATCGTAAATTCCAGATAGAGGACTGTGGTTGTCAGCACAATGCTGACTTGTCGGAATGTTAATGAGAAGACATTCATTGTTTTCTGGTGTTTTCGTTGTTCTATAACCACTCTTGAACAGATCAACTATTGTATCGTACGACTTCAGTTTGAAATAAATTTTTGGAAGTCGTCATTTGTTACGGAAAACGTTTAGTTCTTAGTTCCTCAAATTATTGCTTTCAGTTTTACAATTAAATCTATTCAGACGTCGTTTATGCTATTCTCATTTCAGACGTGATCCTATTGTTGGTGTTGACGGTATTTGGTGAATGTGAACAAACGAACGA